ACCATGCCCTTATGGTGAGTACCTATGTGCATAACTGAGTTCTATACTAAAAGAAACACAAGGACTATGTGAATACTTACATCTCAAAGGTTTCCCTTTCAAATGGAAAATTGCAACTTGTCTATGTTCTGTGAGTTAAAGTCTGTGTCTAAGTATTCTCAGGCATCTAAAAAAACATCCATAAAAACTGCATGAGAAACATGTAACTAGAATTGAAGGGAAAATTAGTTGCCGCTTGTTTAAATGATACATGTGTTCTAGCTGTCTCCATCCTGAGCAGTGTTGCTGGAGGCAGGGAAGTGCAGAAACTCACATGGCCTACGGAAGCAGAAAAGGCAATGACAAATTGGATTTGGCCTCAAAAAAGGATGTGTCTCTCAAGTAGGTGACTGCACTCTCTGTCAACTAATAATACCCTTTTCTTCAGATCTGTATTTTCCAGTTTTCTTCCAAACTTCATTTTCATTTGGTTTTTAAAAATATAGTTGTCTAGAGTGCTTTCATGATCTTATGCCAAGTCCTTCTGATACAAAGTTTGTGAGCCTAACGATGCAACATGGGCTGCTTGGTCTGAAGCTACTTTGGATGTTCACTCTTTTTGGATAATCATTTGTTTATGTGACATCTTGGGTTTTTTTTTCTCAATTAACATTTATTTAAATTATACAGTATTTTCTTGTTCATTAGCTTCATTTAATTTTTACAATGACCTTATAATATAGGCATAATTATGGACTTCTTTTACAGAAGAGTTAAAATGAGGCTCAGAAAGTAAAGTCACTTACCAAGGTCACATGTCTAGTAAACAACATAGCTGAAATTGAAATTCAGGCTGACTGGCTTCCAAGCCTGTGCTTTTTGCACTGCACTATGCTGCCTGCTGCTGCCCTACACTGCCTCAGCATGCAGGTTATGCCTAGGCAAAGTTGTGAATTACAGGAAAGTGAAGGCTGTTCAACTGCTCAGTTCTTAGCTTTTACGTTGCAGTTTCCTCTCCAGGTTTCCACTTCTTCCTTCCCTCACAGTGTGTGATGCCTCCTTGGTGTTGTGCTGCCTCTCATCTTTATGGACAGTTAACTTTCTTCTTAAACCCAAATAGTAAAACTCTAACCTGAGTACCCAGTTTATTACAGGAGTTTCTGACAGATTTGCACCAGTATGAGAGAGAGTCTTACCCCAAGACATTATTTTTCAGGCAAAAAATGCACTTATGGCCACAAGTGCAAATACTACCATCCGGAGCGGGCCAACCAACCACAGCGTTCGGTGGCTGATGAGCTCCGCATCAGTGCCAAACTGTCCACAGTGAAAACCGTGAGTGAAGGCACCCTGGCCAAGTGTAGCACAGGGCTGTCTAATGCCAAAGGTGAAATAACCTCCGAAGTCAAACGTGTGGCCCCCAAGCGCCAATCGGATCCCAGCATCCGGTCCATGGCTGTGGAGCCTGAGGAATGGCTGTCCATTGCCCGTAAGCCTGAGGCCAGCTCTGTCCCCTCACTTGTGACTGCCCTAAGTGTCCCCACAATCCCACCCCCCAAAAGCCATGTGGTGGGTGCACTCAACACTCGTTCAGCCAGCAGCCCAGTGCCAGGATCCTCTCATCTCCCCCACCAGAAGGCCTCACTGGAACACATGGCTAGTATGCAGTACCCTCCAATCCTGGTTACCAACAGCCATGGGTCACCTATTAGCTATGCTGACCAATACTCAAAGTTTGAGTCCCTGGGGGACCACAGCTACTATTCAATGTTAGGCGACTTCTCCAAACTGAACATCAACAGCATGCATAATCGAGAGTACTACATGGCTGAAGTAGACCGAGGGGTGTATGCCCGGAGTCCCAACCTCTGTCCTGACAATCGTATGAGCCATACCAGGAACGACAACTACTCCTCTTACAACAACCTGTATTTGGCTGTAGCTGATGGCCATCCTGAAGGCAATCTAAAGCTGCATCGCTCAGTATCTCAGAACCGTCTTCAGCCTTTTCCTCATGGTTACCATGACGCCTTAACACGAGTGCAGAGCTATGGCCCAGAGGATTCTAAGCAAGCCCCCCACAAGCAGTCAGTTCCCCACTTAGTTCTACAAGCCCAGCACCCAGCAACTGGAGCATGTTCAAGCTGTCCTGGAGACTACCCCATGCCTCCTAATCTCCACCCTGGGGCAACCCCCCAGCCAGGACGTGCTCTGGTAATGACTCGGATGGACAGTATTTCTGACTCCCGCCTCTATGAAAGCAACCCAATGAGGCAAAGAAGACCTCCCTTGTGCCGGGAACAACATGCCAGCTGGGACCCATTACCCTGTACAACCGACTCCTATGGCTATCACTCCTATCCCTTGAGTAACAGCCTCATGCAACCATGCTATGAACCAGTCATGGTACGGAGCATGCCTGAAAAGATGGAACAGCTTTGGAGGAATCCTTGGGTTGGAATGTGCAATGATACCAGGGAGCATATGATCCCAGAGCACCAGTATCAGACTTATAAGAACCTCTGCAATATTTTCCCTTCAAACATCGTCCTTGCAGTGATGGAAAAGAATCCCCACACAGCAGATGCCCAGCAACTGGCAGCCTTGATTGTTTCTAAGCTTAGGGCTGCACGTTGACATGACACAGGACTTATTCCTTTATACATATATAAATATTCATACTAATAATGCATCAATGCTAAGATAAAAGTAACCAATAATTTTGTGTTGCGCTTTACAAGTTATAGTGTTTCTGTCATTTGAAGCGCAAAACAACCCTGTAAAGTACATTTTACTAATCTTATTTTCTACAAAAGGAAACTGAATCTCATTGTGATTAGGTTACTTGCCAAGGTCACACTGCTAGCAAGTGACCAAATCAGGATTCACACTCAAGTCCTCTGACTCCAAGTCCCATGCTTTTTTGCTCGGCACCATGCGGATAATGGAGGACAAAACTCGAAGAGAGATCTAAAATCAAGAAACTCCCAAAGGATTCCATTATCAATGTTTTCTTAGTTGCACATTCTATATTACAAAGTATTGATAATATTTCTAATTTAGAGAGCAAGAGCATCTGGATCAAATCATATATTGAATTTACCTTTTGGGATTTTTAATAGGATATTTAAAGCTTTTAAAAAGTAAATACATAATTTATTGCATGAATATCTGACCATTCAATATCTTTATTAACCAAGCTATAGGGTCACATCAAAGCTCTAGACCTATATTTCAAACCTATTGTTAGCAATTATATCGCATGCATAACTGTATGTATTTAGTTTGAGATGTTTATGTATCCCCATATAACTTTTTATATAGTGATAATGAGAAGAAAAGCTCTGCACAGTCCTTAGTCTACAGCTGTATAGATCATGAATCTAACTTGATTTTATGTCACATTTCATAGTTTCAACTAGTTCTGAAAGTGAAATTACATGCCAATATTTGAATATTGTTTTCTTAGGCACCAGAGAAAACTAACTGTATTTCCTTTGCACTTTTTACTTGTCAACACTGACAGTTCTTAGCTTTTAAGTCTCTTCACTTTAGCAAATTTGGGATCAGATTACAGCTTTCTTCTTCAGAGGAGCTGATGGACAAGCATAGCAGGTGTGTGCTAGACAAGCACAGAAGTTTGACAAGGATGAAGGGATTTACTACCAGACTCCACTTCCCTTTTCCAAGGAGAGATGGCCAAACTCATGCAGCATTAAATGATGAACACAAAGCTGCACTCAAGGAGGGTCTAATGGATACCCTTTAAACTTATGACCTATGCAGTATTCAACATCACAGGATAAAATGTAATGGAGGACGGTGCACAGCCATGTAATCCACTTTCTTCTGCTGTCCACTCTTTGGGCAATAAGGTGGATCATTAGTGGAACAGAATTTCTTTAGGAAACAAAACCAGGGGATTTTCTAAGTGGAAAAAGGCAGCTTACAAAAGGGGATGCTACATCTTTGCTAATAGCTGGTTCAGTTATGCACTTTCCCTTAAAAATTCTTAAATGCATCACTAAACACACAGGATTTTGGATTGAGCAGCACCATTTGCACAACTAGTATCTTTCTCAGGGTGGAAACCTTTGTAGCTAAATGCCTCTTGCATTTATTGTTTTTGGTTTTTTTATTAAGCAGTACTAAATGAACCCCTTTTTAAATCCATTGCATACTTCAACATTTTGAACCATGACCTGCTATTTCTTGAGCTGGAATTTGCTAATTTCTATGTGTGTTTTTTTTTTTTTTTTCATGAAAGTTGAGGTGGTCTGGTTTTGGCCTTTTGTTTCTTCATGAGAATGTGTGACTGCCTATAAATTTTCTTACCATGAAGCACTCCGCATGTGAGGCCGTAGTCAGGGTTGTTTCTGGTGGTTTGATAATGGCTTGAATGCTGCTTTTTGGTTTTCTGTCACTGTTCTAGTTGATCAAAACTGCACCTCAGCCAGCATTTCTCTTCAGTTAACCACAACTTCATATTCATCTCCTATCCTCTCTGGTCTTCCCATTCCCCAGCATTTTGAGTGGTAAAAGTATTTTCTGTCAGGTAGAAAATAGAGAGTGACAGTTGCCACTGAAGTGCTTGCTATTTCACACAAATACCACTTCATTCCTTCAACTTCTTGGACCTTCTAAATTGGCCCCATGTCTAAATCAGGGTATTTGACACTCTTAGATGACTCTACTGCCTTTCTGCCAGTTAGTTCATCTTCCTAACAAAATCATCAATAGGATTAAAGTATCCACTAGCTGCACAATTTACGGGGAAGCACAAGATTAATCTTGTCAGCTGCAATTTATCTTGAACATGTTCATGTTTATTACCCAAAAACATTGTAACCTTCTCTAAACACAGGAAATACTTAAGGCAGTGTATGTATTTTTTATTTTCCAAAAGCAATTGTCATTTTTCTCATAAGATGTTTATGAACCAAAGCGGCTAAAAGCAATGCCTCAAATAACCAGAAATGACATTTTGTTGATACAAATTGTATCCCTTTTTTTCCTGATTGTATAAAAACAAATGTACAAAACTCATATTAAACTAAGTTCGATACTGACTTTTCATCATAATGTTTGTGGCACTGTGTGTCACAAGAAAGCAGCCTGGTCATGAGGGAGCGATTTCCAAGTAGTAGCTTATAGACAAAGACTATTTTTCAAGGTTTCTTTATTATTATGCACACAGCTATTATGTGTGCAGTTTCAAGCACTATGTTGTATAAGTTTTCTTTAGCTTATTAAATTTAATATGTCCCTGCAAAAGGGATTTTGTGTAAAAAGTGTGTTAGTGAATAATCTGCAAGAATCTATAAATGGAGCTGTACAATTCTGAATGCATAAATCTAGTGTGGTTTTTAGTGAAGTTATTAGAGAACTTTTTTTTATACTGAGGTCTGTATACTTCTTGACTTTTCCATTTTGTCTTTAATTATAAAACAACAAATACAAAGAAGAATTGGAACTTCCTCAGCTCTCTTGATAATAAAGTCAGGCTTCCTTCCTAGGGTTGAGCATATGTCCTTCAGAATACTTACCTCCAAACACTCAGCAGAGTTACTACACAGTGTTTTGTGTGGTTTTCAAGGAACAGTGTATTTTCCAAGAGGTGCTTTGTACTTTTAAGTTTTTTCACTGAGTTACTGAACTCCTAGCAAGTCGGTGCCTGTTCAAACCTTAGATTTTGTAAATTTTGTGATTCTTTTTTTGTAATTTTGTTGTTATTTTTATTTCAATCTGAAGAAGTGTGATTCTGGAGTGGTATGGTCAATCCGGGCACCAGAGCCTTTTCAAAGGTAACATTACAGCCATTGCACTCTATCTTAAAGTACAAGGTATGGAAGGGAGAATGACAGATACCTTATGCAAAGGGTCTATAAAACTTTCCCTCTAATAATATAAATATAAAGTACACACACACACTGCTAGTTTTCAGAACACTTTGAATACCCATTTTTTTCTATTTTAAAACAAATTATCTTTATACGGTAATTCAAACATTGATAACCATTAACCTTTGGCACTGAGCTTTCTTCTAACACAGAAGTGTTCATTTTGAGAGGCACTTAGTTACTGTTCTATCTATGCTGTAAGTGTGGGACTTTGTATAAATGCCCTTTTTGAGGGCCAACAATTTCAATACACTTTTACTCTGTGACCCAGGTCTGACACTGCACAGAGAAAATAATGTTAAGCTATCCAAAGAGCCCTGCTCAGGTTTCCTCCTAACCCTTCTCTGCCTTCCCCTAATTTTCTTCTCCTCAGGTCTAACACTGAGGAGGGCATAGTCTTAAACTGAAGTGGCACTACAGTTAGTTCTCAATGGAAACCAAACCAGTTCATTTTGGGAAACGGCTTGCCTAAAGTAGTCGATGCCTTTGAAAAGACTTAGCATATTCAATGTCTATCATATTGTAGCTAGCTATATACATAGGCAGATTGACTATTTCTAGTCCTGGTTTGTATATCACTGAGCTATAGTACTTTGCTTTATCCATTTGTGGGATTAAACAATACTGTTTAATGGTTGTAAACTTTTATAAAACCTCTTTGGGTTTTTTGTTTGACCCAAACATAATGTAAGTCTCAATGACAAAATACACAAAGCCAACCAGAGTTGAGTGGAAATATATCCTGTCCCCAGTTTTGTCTACCCCTATAATGCAGGTGCAATGCTTTGCAATGTTCTCACTAGCATGAATGTGCTATACTCCTTAACGAGGTTTTAATTTGTTTCACCTATAATCATGATTGAAAATGCTGTATCATTGACAACAATGAACTGTTACCACACTTATTTTCTGCATAAACTATTTGTCTACTAACTACTAATGCCTGTGTTTCTTTAAGAACATCAACAACAAAAGCCATATTACACCTACCTATACACACTCTAGTTCACTTCTAAACTTAAATTTCTATCCTTAGGGAATTTAAATAAAAACTTGAAACTACAAAAAAAAATTCTGTCCTTGGAACTTGCATCTTGAGATAAGCTGTAAGGAGAGGGATCTCTCTGAATGAGTTCATCTGAATTTTATCACAATAAGCATATGCCTTCTTCTATCTTTGTATACTAACACAGCTCCAAGTGTTAATCATCTTGTGTTTCCCACAGGGCTGGACTGGGGCCAGGCCTCCACTCATGGGTCAGAACTAAGTGGAGGCCTCACGGCCCAGGCTTAGTTTCTCCTCTGAATATTCTCAGGGCCACAGAAATACTCTGTTGGACATTAGCTAAAATATCAGAGCTAGAAGCAGCCTGGCACCCTATACGTTACAGAGAAGTCACAGGTGGAATGCTCAGCTGCATCAACTCCATCACGTTATAGGTGTGGGAACTGAGGCTGCAAGAACTGAAGAGATTTGACTAAGACTGAACAGGGAGTTAATCGCAAAGCCACTACTGGAACCACAGGCTTCATTGCTTCCAGGCCAATGAGCCCTTTATTACAGTGGTGTCTGCTCTTCCCTCAGGCTTTTTAGGAGTTTCCTACCCTCACCCCAACCTCCCTACCCCATGCACAATCCAGGCCAGTCCCATTCTAAAGGCAGAGATGACCACAGTTGCTGCAGGAGAGCCCAGCCTAAGCCTTTCGAAGGGGCTATTCATAAATCTGAGAATATTTCTTTTATCATCTTTTTGGGACTAAGAGTGTTCATCTCTCCTTATCTTTTTTCTGCCTCCTTTCACATTTCTCAGGCATACATGTATTACGTTTTTAGAACCAAATAGTGACCTGGTCTATACTGGGCTAGGGAAGGACAGAGGAGGAGTACAGTTCCTGTCTTCTAGAACTTGCACTCACATGAGGAAATGAGGCACACTTACAGAGTATGTTAATAAATTAAGACTTTCTTGGAGAGCAGTGGCAGCCTGAGTGGGGAGTGGTAGAATTCCAAGAAGTGGCAATTCAGTATCCAATGTCTCTCCCTAGTAATAGGTGGGAAATAACTAGTTTGACCATTTCCTTCTCTAGCTCACCTCTCTGGCCTCAGGACCTATCATGTTCCAATTATCCTGGACTCTTCACTGGTGCCCCAACACGCCATACTCTTTCTTATCCCTTCCAAATTTTTACCTTACTTCTACTCTGATTTGCCTTTGAAGACTCACTGATAATGTTACCTCTTCTATTCAGCTGTCCCACCTCCTCCATCAAGCATTGTTAGTGCTTATCCAGTGGGATCTTGAACAATCCTTCTATCTTACCACTTGTCATTTTTATAATTATGTTGGCATGCAGACTCCTCTACAAATAAGGCAGTTCTTTAGAAACAGAAACTATGTTCTTCATCACCGATAAATTATCAGAAGGGGTGACTCTCAATTACTGTTGTTGAATTAACAGTATAATCTACATTTCCTTCCCTTGTTCCCCAGTTAAATGTGTACAGTCCAAAGCCTTTTTCTAATCCATCTCTGATCTCTAGTCAGAAAGAAAAGGTCCAAGAGCACTTGCTTCCTGGCCGGTCCTCCCTTACCCCTTTCCCTCACCTGACTCAACCTTTGACCCCATCATCTAAAGCAGCCCTTCTCAGAGACCTGGCTTCACAAATCCCAGGTTTCAGGACTCCAGCAAATAATGGCCTTTGACTCTAGACCTGAACTAGAAATGAGCTCATATAATCTGTTTCTCATCTTTAGGTCAGTCTTTGAAAGCCAGGGGAAATCACTTTGTCCTAAGTTATACAGACCTGAGTCCTGGGTTTGAGGTCCACTAATCCTGGCATGAACCCACGTGGCTCACACATACAAAGCATGGTACACTTTAAAGAGCAACTTCATATCTATTACCTTTTTTCTGATCCTTACAACAAGACTGTAAGGCAAATATTACCCTCCTACAGATGAAGAAGCTGGCATAATTTACCCAAGGTTGCTCCCATGAGTGGTGGAATTCCCTGGAACCCAGGTCTTTAGGCAGATTTTTTTTTTCCTTTCTATTCCAGTGATCTCAAACTTCAGCATGCATCAGAATCACGTGGTGATTGTTAAGCCAGATTTCTGCCCACCCTTAACCTTTCTGATTCAGGTCAGTAATGGGGTTCAATAATTTGCATTCCTAACAATTACCCAGATAATGCTGATGTTGCAAGAAACTTGGATCTATATACTATTAGCTTGTTTTGTGCCCTTGGACAAATCCTTTCTTTTTGTCAGCCTCAGTGTCTCAATGCATAAAATTAGGTGTTAGACCAGCATGATTTCCAAATTTTTGGCAAAAAAATATCTTACATACAATACCAATACATACATAATATATAAAATCCAGGCAGCTCCAGAGAAGTGGCAGAGGGGAACCACAAGTTTGCAACACCCATCTCCACATGGAGCAGGTGCTGAGCTACATCACAGAGTACATGTTCATAAATCTCTTGGCTGTATGTGGCTTAGATGCTCTGAGATCCTTCAGCTCTGACATTCCACAATGTCGAAAGACAGCATTTACCATTGTGGCAGGGGTGGGAAGATTTGGAGGTAAACTGACTTTGTGTTAACCAGTGCAGGAGACTGCTCCGCCCAATCCTAATGCTTGGGTCTACACAAGATAGGAAATCTTAACCCTGTTGGGCTGTTGGACTGATGGACCCTTTGATAATCTTATTAGATCTGTGGGCCAGTTCTAGAAAAATGATTATATACACATACCCACAAAGATATTCTGGATATCCTTTAAGAGATGTTGGGGACTTCATAGGGATCCTACCTCAAGTTAACATTTGACAGTGCTCTGGCATAACATTTCCACTAAATTCCTCCTTGGAATTTTCACAGCATAAGCCCTCTCCTTTTTTTCATTATTCCTTAGCTCCAAGCTACCCCTTGGGCCAGCTTCTTGTACAAAATGTTGCCTAGATCTGTCCCTTGCTTCCCCTTGTCTGGGCCCAACTTGGCCCTACAGAGATGCACACTCTCTTGCTCAGCTATCACTTTCCCCAGAATTGATAATACCATAGCCAGACTTTACCTCAACCTCCACCCTAAAAAAACACAAAGAACTTGTGGCACACCAGAGCTCCCTTAGGGCACTTAGCAGAACATCAGGTTATAATTGGCTACTTTTGTCTTTTCTCACAGGCAGAGGGCTCTGAGGGATGTGAACATGATTTATTCATCTCAGTCTCTTAGCAGCTCAGAGCCGACACAGTGTAGGCACTCTTGAGTGTCTGAGGGAATTGGGTGACCACAGAGAAGGAGCTCTGGGTCACTCCATAAGATATTCTCTGTCTCCAATGCCTACTATAGTAAAGTCCACTCTATCTTTCTTGGCCAAAGGAATGGAAAAATAAAGGATTCTCTTTGGCTTTCATTAGCTGTTTAGTGCCCAGTGAGGGTAAGCAAGGAAATGAACCAGAAGCCTGCTAGGTAGCATCAGGAAGGCCTGGATCTTCCCATTGTCAGGGAGGTTCTGAGCAGGTACGCCTGATGCTGGCTGGGCTCTATAGACACCAATGCCTCGCTTATGGGGCCTAATGCTTCTAAGTAAGCTGGCCCCATGCTACAGGTCATAGAAATGAAAATGGTGTGAATCAGGAAGAAAGTATGAGTGGGGCCTGGTTGTGAAAATGACTAGGGGTAGTGGGACCAAGGGGCAAAAGGACCAAGCTTCTGCTTAAAGTCCTGTTATGATCCCACATTCTCTGCCGCCCCCTAGAATAAAGGGAGAACTACACTGGTTTGTCCCAGAACACATCCCCTCATCTAACAAACATCAAAACTGTTTATTTTTTATTGTTTCTCAGAACAAAATTAAAAAACAAAACAAAACAGTCAAAATTCCACTCTGATGGAAAGTTGAGCTGATACGGCTGATATGGACTGTCTTCCAGGTTGTTTCATGGAGCGTCAAGCGCACTGGGGGAAGAGCAAGGGGACAAGAAAGGCAGGAGTGAGGGACAAAAGGGGCAGGGAATGGGTTGTTGCCCCAGCAGGGCTGAATAAACACTTTGCACCAGAATGGGTATCAGAAGAGCTGTAGGCCAGTTTTGAGTCCATGCAGCTGGCCCTGGCTCCAGAGAAGGCCCTCCAAGTTGCTGCTGCCGTTGCTACTGTTGCTGCAGTTGTCACTGCCCATGCCACAGCTCAAGCCAAGGGTGCTGTGGAGAGAGGGGGGAGGGGTCAGTCAGGGAAGGAGGCAGCTTTAGGCTCTAGAAGGGCTAAGGGTATTTGATGCATGTGTGTCTATGGAAAGGACCCACCCTCCTGCCTAGTTTTACAAAGAAGAGTATGGAACAAATCTGAAAAACTATTTCAGATGGCCCCAGGGATAGTTTTGCCTTCCCCTCAATTGAGATGGAGGGAAGGAGTAGAACTTTTCAAATGAAACTTTATTCAGAGCCCCAGTATATAAACCAGATCAAAGCAGAACTATTTCAGTTGAGGTAGGAGGGAGGACCCGTAACCACCCACCCCAGGAAGATATTGAAACTGGCCACCTTAACAGGTCTTTTTCCAAGGCCCTACATCTTGGGGGCCCAGAGTACCCTGAGCTGGATCCCTCCCACCTCCAACAGCTGGTTAAGGCATCCAAGGCCAGGACTGGGCTACAGGGCTAGGCCCAGATCCCATCCCAGGATTGCAAGGTTACTCTAGGGAGAGGACTGCCTTCTCCCTCCCTGGTGCGGCTCAGAACACTCATTTCCCCTGCTTCCTGCAGATCAAAGGTCCTTCCAGGTAGATGAGGGTGACAGCTGAGAGCAAAGCCATCATCCTCCCCTCAGGCAGATCCATGGTTACACTACTGCAGCTGAAACCCTCAGAGATGATCTAGTCCCATCCCCACCCATCGTCTACCATCTTACAGATAGGGGGACTGAGGCCCAGAGATGAAAAGGGACTTGCTCAAGGCCACACAGTCAAGTCAGGGGTGCAGCTGGGGTGGCATGCTTGCTCCAGCAGAGGAAGCCCCCCTACTACAGAAGGTATGGGAGCTGGGCCCACTCCCCTTCCTTTTGGAATTAACAGCTCTACCTACCCACACTTGATACCGTGGTGCTCATCAAGCACCTTATTCAGACTTATTCAAGGGGAGAGGAGGTCTCTCAGACATGTGGGCCCCACTCCCAACTATAGACTATCTGGTTTTCCCAGCTGCCTCATCTCCTCTCTAAGAGGCCTGCTGTCCCCTGGCCTAGGACAGAGAGTCCATAGCACTGTCTTGGCCCTGGCCTGTTGCTACGGCCCCTGGGTTCTGTAGCCCTCTCCCTGAATGTCCAGAGGAAGACGGGCTCATTTCCCAGGGAGTGGGCAGGCAGCACAGGGGAAGACCCACAGAGGTCTCTCTCTGGTGCTCATAGGATTCTCCCAGTCACAATGGCCCCGCATTCCAGAACGTACAAGACCTCTGGACGGGCTCCTTTGTGTTACCAGCAGAGACACACACACACACACACACACACACACAACACACAAACTGGATGCAATCTGAGAGGGGTGCCAAGCCAGCTCTGTGAGGCTACCTCAATACCACCACCAACCTCGCCCCCCACCACCAACTAGGGACTGGGAATCCTGGAAAATGCCCAGCCAGGGACTGGAGCTTATCCATCACTCACTTAGGCCCTGACTGGGGGAAGCTACCTTCCCCACCCATCTTGCTTTGTGTCTCTCCCTTCCTCCCTCCCTCCCTCCCTCCCTCCTGCAGGAGGCAGAGAAATGGATAAGAATTCCTGCTGCCATTGGCACTCACCCAGTCTTGCATGTTGGGGGTTCCAGCCGCTGCTCTAGCACAGGCTGGTCCAAAAGATACATGGTGTCATAATTTTCCAGCATAAGCTCTGCTGGGTCCTCAGTCTGACCTGGCATTAGGCCTAAAGGAAAGGTATCCCATCGTACATCTTCTGTGAAGCCAAGGGAGGAAGTAAAAGTGGGTTGATTAGATAGTTCTCAGAGTGGTGTACAGGCCTAACTACACGGTCTACCCACCCATTTCAATTAGCCTCTCAGCATGGGATTTCTGTGCATGTCCAGCCTCACTCCTGCCTCCATCATTTCTCATGAGCTCCTCTCTACCTTCACACTCCCCACCCCTTCCATACTCGGCTATTCACTCTTCATTGCCCTTATCCCCTCTATGTGTTCACACATACCCACACATGCCACCACAACCTACTCCCAAGTCCACACATGCCATGCACACAACTAAAAACATATTTGTTCTCCCACCTCCCCAGATATGTCCCCAACATAGACATAGACAAGAACAACTTCTTCAGGCCTGGCTGTATCACTGCCTCAACTTCTCACCTGCTCTGTACACACATATATTCTGGAGAGTCTGGATACTCCAGAATTCCCACACCGCATCCCCAAACCCAGATACCTCAAGAGTATGTGAAAGGCCTAGATTTCCTGCACATCTACACACAATCCCCACCCCCAACGTGTCTGAATGCCACATTTCTTAGTGGCCTTGCATTTAGATAGATACACACACACACACACACACACACCCCACCTCAGAGTGTACTCTCTCTCAGAGGTATTATACTCCCCCCGTCCCTTTGCAAGGTCTTACTGCCCCCAGATATACACACACAGAACATCCCTTACCTAGGAAAAGGGTGTCTTATTGCATATCCTACTCCCCACTGCCACCTAAGTATACACACTTAGGCATATAGACTGACCCTCCATTCAATGAGTGCTCCCAGTTTCACTCTGCCTCCTACACCTCTCATTCAGAGGAATACAAGCCAGAAATCTTAATGTCTCTATATCCCCAAATATGTGTATGCCCACACAGAAGCAGCAATGGAAAGAGAGAGAATAAAAGACTTTAATATCCTGCCTTTCCACTTTCATAAGCCACTCCCCTACCACCCCAAAGAAATTCCACTTTAGAACAAACCATATCAGGCACAACCCACCCCCTCTGTCCTACCACTTAAACACCCTCTACATAGTATTATAGTAAAGCCTCATCCCCACCCTTACACTGGTGCATCCAGTGTTTTCAAGCAAAGCCTTCATGAGCTCCTCCAAGTAGGTCCAATTTCAGGCCTTCTGCATCTCCTTGGTACCCTAAAAGTTCTCTGTAATAATGCCCTGGCATTCTGGACTAGCTTTTTATGTTATCCACAGAACCACACACCCTGACTCTTCTCCAGGAAGGAAGTTGTGCCTATCTTAATGACATGTGTTGCCCTATAAATACAAAGATGCCTTCGCACACAGGGACCACTTTCCCCATGTCTGTCACTGACCCGACCATCTTCCCTCCCCTCCCCATCAACAGCATCCCCAACCCTGTCTACATCATGGCCCCTGCCTCTCTAGCCTGACATCCGTGTACATGTCCCTCAGTGACAACACAGACACACACAGGCTACCTCTGGATGGCTGTCTCACTGCCTGTTCTCACACCTTTATACACCCACCTCTCATTGCAGAGATACCCCTCCCTCACAGAGATACCTTCTGTCTCCCTTAGGTCTCAGTGACCCTGCCTCTTCTTCCAAAAACATACATGACCATGTGTACATCTATGCACAGATTCATAGCATCCACTTCACAATGACTTCACAGTCCCTACTCTCTCTTTCTCACATACTCATACAATTCTGCCTATGTCAATGCCCCTCCCATTCAATATTTACAAAGATCCCAAACATGGCCCTCCTTGTACTAAGGAGTTCTCTGCCACCATGCCTTTCTATATGCAGCATGTGCAGGCAGGTAAACAGACGTAAACATGTTCCCCTACCCCTAGCACTCAGTGCCTTTATGCCCCAGACCTTCCACACATGTCCACACAAGAGCAAAGGCTCCACCTTTCCCCCTAAGTTCCTTCACTGTCTTCCCCATCTCTCCCTATTGTTCCCTAACATGCCTACCCTATGCCACACCCAGTCCCAGCTGTTTTCCTTCCCTCTTTCAGGTTCCATCATACTGACTGCCCTGCATCTACCCCTGCTTCCATGGTATACACATATACACCAAAATGTTCTTTCCTTCAGGATCTCCCTGCCTCAGGGTTTCTATCCCCTAACCTAAACAAAGGCACTCAAAACACATCCATTAGCAGGAACAGATTCATACACCCCCACTTTCTTATCACCTAATTCTTTCTTTCCCCCTCTAAGCTTTGTCCCATTAACTTGTATGCTCACCCCAAAGCCACAACACTCCTTATTTTCGCTCTTCTGCTTTCCCTTCCACTTCCTCTAACTTAATACCTGTTTTCCTTCTCATATACACAGCAAAATTCTGTCTCATCACCACCCAGCCCTCATGTGTCCATACACATTCACATATAAATAGGAAGCATTATTTGTCTACCTGCTCCTGGGTCACTGCATACAAAAAACAAATGCAGAATCATATATATCCACCCACCTCTCACTTTCTCCTCTGTGTTCTGGTGCTCAGTGCCCACACCCACACCATCCCCTCTGAATGTGTTCTCTGCATGAAGCATCCAGTAGCATGATAGCTCTTAGGGCCTGGAAGCTTACATACTGTCTTAAAGGGGAAGAAAGCCAGGTGCCACCCACACACCAGACTGCCTCCCAGACCTGCCTCATACTGGCTAACCTCTGCTACTTCCCATCTCCTCTAGGGTGGAGGGAAACCTCAAGAGCCAGCCAGAGAAGGAAGATTGGTGTGAGAGAAAGTGGGTACCAGGCTTCTTACCAGAGCTAATTTGCCATGCAGAGCCCTGTAAAGCTCCTGTTTTCTGGGCCAGGAGCCTGGAATTCTCAGCAGTGGAAGACTCCTCAGCAGAGAAAGGCTCCACTTCCATTCTCTCCTCCTCCTCCTCCTCCTCTTCATCATCATCATCATCTTCATCCTCCTCCTCATCCCACTTCTGGTCATCGTTTTCCTCTTCCTCCTCCTCCACCTGATTTTCCAATGCCTCTTTCTCCTCTTCATTTTTCTGGAGATCATTAAGGCTGCCCTGCTCCTCCTGCTGCTGGGGTTCCTCAGATCCAAAGCTGGAACCAGCTGGTTTGAAGCTCCAATACAGGCTGTCCAGTGTATATGGAGACTTCCCAATGGGGGAGGCCTCTGAGCCCTCCTGTACTAGGCTGTTTTCTCCACTCTGGGTGTAAATGGAACAGATTCGCAGCAGCTTCTCCTGCTCCTCATCTGGCAGGACCTGTCCCATGGCTTTGAAGACACTGAGCAAAGGGAGGGGTGGGGTAAGAAAGATTCAAAATCTCAAGTCACTTGATACCCCAATACTACATGGTTTGAAGTTGGTCTCTTGAGTTTCCAGACCTGCCTCTGAAGGCAGTGCAGAAGAACATACAAAAACAGAAAGGGCCCAGGGACCCTGAACAAGCTCTGTGATTCATCTCTGTAGCTCACTTCAATTCTCAGTAAAATGAGGATGGCACTTGACTTAAAGGGTTGTTGGGAAGAGTAAATAAGATAGTTCACATAGAATGCCTGGCATAGTGCCTAGCACACAGTGAGTGGGCATGTAATAAATGATAGCTATTAGTCTGTACTAAATGCTGTGTAAATACACAAACTAGGCAGTAGACCTACAGGGCTAGACATGGGAATGGCAGATCCCTCTCTTCCAATGGCTTAGCTGAGCAATTTGTCCTGAGCTTCAAAGATATGCCTGGAAGTGTGCTGAGCAACTTATACATGGAATACAAAATTTGATCCCTTTTCAGGAACAACTACAGCCCAACCTGGAATGGAGGAAAAGAAAAAAAGTCAGTGGTTGACAAGACAAAGCAAGATGTGGGGTGGGGAGGCCACATGAGCACTGCAGACCTTGGGCACTACAATAGCTGAAGAGAGGCAGAGAGCACAAGGAGGGCAGGAAAGATCAAGGGAGGGGTTTATACAGAGACAAAAGTGAGCACACTGTACTGGGTACATGTAGCGGGAGTAGCTTTGCTCCAGGGGAAGGGCTGTGCTGGGGAGCTGTGGGAGAAAAAGAAGACTGCAAAGGTTAAATGTGCATGTTGGGCACAGGGGGTCACCTGATGACTCTATGAACAGCTGATGGCTCCACCTCTGAAGATCACCATGGTGCCTGTGTAGAGGATAGCCATGTGGAAGATAGACTAGATGGGGAAGCCTGAGGACAGGGAGACCAGGGAGCGAGTGAGGGTTGACCTAGGGCACTGACTATGGAGATGAGAGGGAGAGAAGCCATGAAAGACAGACAGAGTAGGGTTTGGTGGCCAGATGGTAGGAGTTGGGCAAAGGGGAGTTAAAGATGATGATAGTGTGCACATAAAGGACGGTGCAAACAGCAAAACCAACAGACACAGAGCCAAAAGGAAGGAGAGCTCCTGGGGAGGAAGAGGATCAACATCCCTTGTACAGCCTCATATAGAACCAGGTACCTGGTCACTGCTGAAGGCATGGAGTGGACAAATAGTTTCCTTCTAGGGGTATTGAGTTTGTGAACTGTGGGCCATTCATGGAGGTTGTCATATGCTCAGCAGGCTATTTGACCACATATGATCTCTGGTCACTGGGGGTAGGGCTGGGGACTAGTGACTCTACTGGGACACCCTTTCTGCATGGCTAATTTCATTACTCCAAGAGGACACTGGCTCAAACTGAACTGATATCAGCTGGCTGGGAGAAGTTCTTAAAAAGTTTCCAGCCTTGGGGCACCTTGGTGGCTCAGTGGGTTAAGTATCTCCTTTTGGCTCAGGTCATGATCTCGTGCTTCATGGGTTTGAGCCCCACATCAGGCTCTCTGCTTTGCACAGAGCCCACTTCAGACCCTCTATCCCCCTCTCTCTCTCTGCCCCTCCTCCACTTGTGCTCATGCTCTTGCTCTGTCTCCAAAAAAAATAAAAATAAATAAAAACTTTAAAAAGTTTCCAGCATTTTTGGAGGAAAAGCCAGAGAGAAACTCACTGTGGTCCATTAGTATGCTTAATAATGAATATTCCCAGGCACTTGATATTGGCAAGATGCTGTATCACCACTGTTTATCATTACCCACATGCTATCTCAAGCTGTCTAGTCTAACCACTGAAGTGTGGGGGTGATATCAATCTTAAAATGCATCTCTCTCCTCAGGTTTGCCTGGTCATAGGTCAGATTGTGGAAAGAATGTGAATTTTGGACTCTGTCCCACCATCAACAAACTGTGTGACTTTTGGATAAGTTACTTCACTCCTCAGCGTCTCAATGTCTTTCTTAACAAATAAGAAGACTGTTGTGTCACATGATATTGCTTCTACAAAAAGCACAGCACCATGTCTGACAGTTATTTGCCAGTGGTATCTTTTATTTTTTTCCTCTCAGGAAAACAAAGCCAAGTTCTGTATGTGCCTACTAATACATACTTTTTGCAATTGTGCAATCTAATGGGACATTCAGTGTAGAAAGAGACAGGAGTAAGGACAGGATATCTGGATTCTGGTCCCAGTTCTGACTTGCAGACTTACTACTGACTTGCAGCATAATAGCTAGGGTAATCCTGTGTCTCAATCTGTGTATTGGGTGATTAGGACTAGATTCACTGATTATCTTGGAAACGCAGAATCTGTGCACAAGGAGTCGTACCCAAGTAAGTTGCGGTTACTGCTGGTATGTGTCGCATCCCTCTGGTATGCTTGGATTGGGAGAAGATCTCTGTGGTCCAGACTTCTCCAAGACCAGCAGCTTCCACTCTGCAGGCACTTAGGATTGGAAAGTACCTTAAAGGCCACCTATCCAAACCTCCGCATGCTGGTCTTTTCATTCCCTCCCCCCATTACATTCACATGCCATGGTCTTTCTAGACTTTGAAACTTTGTTTATTCTTTTTCCTGTTGGAATTTCTCAAATGCCCTCACTGTCATGCTTCCCTGAACCCTCCAAACTTTTTTGGTTCTCCTCCCAGTGTCCCACCCATCCATATCACTTCTCTTTAGAGCACACACATCTGTCAATTTAGCTGTTTGGTTCAGTTCCATCTCCTGGAGGTCTTGTCCTGGCTGACATTCTCTATAAAGCCACATTTTTTTTTTTCTTATAAGCTACCACTGTACCAATGCCATCAGGTTTCAAGAAAGACTTGCTCACTCAATGGAGGGATCAGGGGACTAAGAGGGTCTTGGCATCCAGACTCCCACTTCAATTAGTCCCCAGGCACAGAGTTAGCTCCCACCAAAGACAGCACTGCCGTCAATGAGACAGCAGAGTATAGTTTAGTTCAAGAATGTTTACTGAGGCCTATTTAGGACCTGGATCTACATGGTGTGTTAGGGCACAGATGGCTAATACAGAGCCCTTACCTTTGAAAAGCTTAAGTCTGATAAAGGGAAGGAAACACTATGGTAAGTAGAGATGGTAACACAAAATCTCAGATTTTGAAGTCAGCATGACAGCATATATAGTGAAGATAGGGAGCAGAAGAGGATTACTTCAGGATTGGGTTGGGAATAAAATAACCAATTCTCTTTTGGCCTGTGGGCTATCCACGGGGACATGTCTGACACACAGTCAAATATAGGAGGGTGGATCTTGGGGGTAAGGCCAGGACTAAAGAGATTTGGGCCTTGGTACTTTATAGGAACTAGGAAAACAGCACAGGCATTTTAAGAAGGGAGTGGTAAATAGCCATAATGCAGCAACAGACAAGAGTTGACTGGATTTGGTAATTTGGAGGTCGAAGCAGTTTTGGGAGTAAATGTCAAATTATAGCAGGTTGAGGAATAAGAGGGTAGTGAGGAAATCAAGACTATTGAGTATAGACTACTCTTTTGAGATGTTTTGATGAGGGAAGGAAGGAGTGATAAGCTGGTAATAACCCAACACAAGGATGCAGGGTCAAAGGAGATTTTGCTTGTGTTACTACTGTTTTAAGATGAAAAAAAAAAAAAAAACCCGAGGCATGTTCATAGGTTGAAGATTAAGAGTGAGTAGAGCAAAGGAGAGGCAGGGGTAAGGGCCCAGAGATGCTGGCAGAGGTGGCTCCAGGGCACAGGTGGAAGAGCAGGCTTTGAGGTGGGACAAAGCCACCTCATCCCAAGATTAGCAAGATGGTTGAATCTAGCCGCAGATTAGTTCATGAGGACTGGACCTCAGGTTGAGGGGGCCCTCCTGGATGTTTTCCTGTGCTTGAGGAAGCTGGGGTGAAATGGGAGAGGGGGAGGGGCTTGAGGTCAGTGGTAAGGGTTTAGAAAAGTGGGGAAATGGGAGAGAAAGTTGGCAGAGAACAAGTAAAAGAGAACAGTTCAGACAAGCTGAACTGAGGCCTGCCTGAGATTAAAAATCATACTGCTGTAATGGCATCATTCCACAGTGATATGTGGTTTTTTCCAGCAGAGCTCAGCTACCCAGGCTGAGGAATGGGGAAGCAGAGTGAGTCAGATCAATCCCAGCTCAGGGGTTTGCAAGTCAGATACACCAAAGGATGGGCAGAGCAGAGGGTCCTGATCATGAGTGGTTGAAGCAATGAACAAAAGATAGGATGGAGGGGAAGCAAGGTTGAGGGAGAGAGGAAATGGAGGAATGGAGGTCTGGATGCAGGCAGAGGGCTAACATCATGGGATGCAAGGATGAGAAAATGAAGGTCAAGAGGTTATGGTCACTGAGAAGAATGTTGGGATGTCAGGTTTCAGAGGCAGAGGAGCTCTGAATGATGGAAATGGGTTCTGAGTGTAGTGGAAAATGAAGGTCACTAGAGTTGAAGAGCTGAAGAGTATCAGATGAGACACTCAAATGAAACAGATATTGCTCCAGAAAGCAAGAAGATAATTGTGTGCTAAAGGCTTCCATGAGTATGAGGGAAGTGACTCAGGGTCAGAATATGACAGAGAAAAGGAAAGGAAGACAACCACAGGTATTTACAGGAACCAGTGCAATATTCAGTTTGACTATAGCACCCAGGGTAGACTGGGTAAAGGGGAATACAGGAGGTATGGTTACCATGATAGGTTGGGGCAGAATCTGAGAGATGTTTGAATGTCAGGCTAAGAAGCCTAGAGGATGGCAATAGGAAGCCACTGAAAATCAGTAAGCACCTATGGAAGGCACACAAAGGAGAGGCATAACAAAGGAGAACAGCACTGGGCTCAGAGTCAGAAGACTGGGTTCAGTAATAAACAGCAGCTACCATTTATTGTGCACTTACTCTGTACAGGCCACTGTGCTGAGCACTCTGGGGGCGGAAGGGGGCATAGATTATCTCATTCATTCTCATACTGGACTCAGTTCAGCCAGGTCTTAAGCTGTGTGACCTTAGGCAAGAATACCATGCCCCTCCCCTATCTGGGACTCAGATCTCCCACCTGTTAGTAGGAGGGGAATGGGATTCAGAGTCTTTTGCAAGAGCCCTGTCCAACTCTGCCACCCTAGGGTTGTGTGGCCCTGAGGCCAGGGCCTCACCCTCTTACCAGATGGAATTCAAGACACTTACAGCTGAAGGAGTTGGGAGCTAGCCCAGCAAGGTGAGCCCAAGCAGGACTCAACCACCCGGGGCCAGTCAAGGGAAGCAGAGCAGTTGAATAGCCTCCAGCTCCTTCTTGCTTCCCACTGGCTTGCAGAAAATCGGCGGGCATTCCGTCCTGACAGAGAAGAGAGGGTTTGAGGAGAAGGAAAAAGTAAGCCCCCCACCCAACCTTGTACTTTTAAAAGCTTGGCTCTGTCTCTCCCTATCCCCCCAGACTCCCCACTCTATTCCTCCCAATTGCTCAAGCATTTAGGCCCTTGTGTCCCAGACCGAGTTTAGTTGGCCCTGCGAAAAAAAAAAAAAAAAAAGCTACAAGATTTGTCCACTGCTATTGTGGTGCCCTCCTGGGCAAGCCTAAACATTTAACAAGAAATGTGTCAGCCTGGTGCTATTCAGCTGAGAGCTGAGAACAATGGCAGATGCTCCTGCCTGGGCTGTGTTAGGCCCTGAGACTAGGGCCAGACTCTCTCACCAGTCTTGGTGTTAGCCACAATCAGTTCAATGGTCCATCTGAGGATGTAGGTGGGCCGGATCCCACTGTCCCCCAAGGTTGGCAGCTCGGAGAACATCCTCTCTAGTAGGGCCTGCGTGAAGGTCTGGGAGTGCAGACCCCTGAGCAGGGGCTGCCAGAATTGAGAAAACGGCTTTGGCACCAGGATGTCACTCAAGTCCATGTTTTCTGGTTTGTGAGGAACATAGGTTGATAAGGAAAGGGGAGGCAGGGGCCGATGGGAGACCGGGAGGGAGGAGAGGGAAAAAGGCAGGGAGGAAAGAAGAAAATGAGAGGGAGAGAGAAGGTGTAGAGGAAGGGGAAGAGAGAGAGGGAGGAGGGGGGCCCACCAACAACAGAGTTGCCACCAGAGAACAGAAAGAGAAGAGTAGAACAGCAAGGAGAGAAACCAGTTAGTATCTGGCAACCAACTGATTCAAAACAGAGTATTTAAAAAAAGCTTTGGTTCTAGCTTCAGCTTTGTCAATAACTCACTGTGTAACTTTGGGTCAGTACCTTCCCCTCTCTGGACCTCAGTCTGCCCATCTGTAACATGAGGATGTTGAACTAGATGACCTCACAAGGCCCTTCCAGTTCTGCTGTTCTAGCTCACTAGCAAGCGACTAAATCACAATTAACATAGCACAATAATAACATTAAGACTTATCCCATCCCATCCCATCCCATCCCATCTTATTCCATCCCATCCCATCCACCCACCCAATTCCAGGTCACCTAAGAGTAGCCCAGAAACTGAGTATCAGTGGGGCTACTTGTCCTGCTTGTCTGAGACAGGCTTCCAGAGGCTATGGAATGGCAGGAAACAGCCTTGGGCCACCTAGCCACCAGTAAACACAGTACTCTAAGACTGAAGTAAGCCCCCAGGACCATACCTTCATAGTCTATCTGCAAAGCTGCCAACTGTTCAAATGTGGGGATAAGAAAGCCATCATCCAGAAAAGCATCCAACACAGCCTCCCTGAAGCAAGATGACAATTAAGCCAACTAAGCAGAGAGAAGACCCTCTTCTACCCCCCACCCACTCCCAAGGCACCTTATACCTCTGACTCAGGTGGGCAAAGCAGCACGGGGGGAAGCAAAGGTAACTGACAGTTGGATCTCATGCCTCAGCCTTCTGGGACAGAGGATGGGTCAGAGACTGGGATCAGTGGGTTCTGAACAAACATTTACCAAGCACATGCTGATCTAATGCCCATAATGAGGGCAGTAGCAGCTGAACAAGCCTGAAAACACAGATGGAGAAAAGTCCCAGGCCCACAGAGAGTTAAATGACTAAGGTCACAGAGTCAAGGGCTTTTAGACTTTAGCTACTACTCAGTCTTTTTGTTTCTCTTGACAGTCCTCCAGTCTCTTATCCTTCCTCTTCTACATGGTTGCCCTCTTTCAGATCCTAGAAACAGAAACTTTGGGGACTCAGTTGCTGGAGTAAACATAATCCTTAATCCCAGGGACCTCAAGAACCTAGAACTAAGTTATAGAGGTTGAAAGTACAGCTTTCACCTCATGTAGCTAAAAGTGAAACCAACAACAGCCAGCTGTATTCTCCTGAGCGAGCAGTTTCTCCAAAAGAGGTTCCCCTAGCTGACCAGGCCTAGAGGTGGAACATGAGTTCCCAAGGTGACTCAATGCCCAGAGGCATTGTCAGATCATGTTGTCATGCTCAGATCCCTCCCTCCACCAGGCTTGAGGTGGAAAGGGATATCCTTCCATCCATCTCCCACCTCCTCAGGTCAGTATCCAGGAAGAGCACTTAAAGCAGCCAGCCAATTGCCTGCTCAGCATAACCAGACAGACATTACAATACAGAGGTAAAGGAATAGTTGTCCCAGCTGCTGGGTGGCCTGTGCTGAAGGGTGCCAAGAAACCTAGGGTGGGCAGACCTGATAAAACATCTTTGGAACTAGTAATATCCTGGGAATGAAGAAGACTCTCAGGGCAATCCCAACCTCCACTGCAGGCTCCCACCCAGGCCCACCCTACCACATATACAACCTTTCTAATACTCTCTGTTCCATCCCATATTTCTTCCAACTCTTCCTAGTTTGGAAGGCCTAGCAATGCTTTCATTGGTTCTTAGTGGAAGGTTCCCCAAAGTCCTTTCCAGGTGAATTTAGGTAGCAAGAGCCAAGAACTAGGTAGGAAAGGAATGGATAGACAGTTTGTCTGCTCTGGATTGAACTGAGCAGTATTTTGAAGGTAGGGGGGAAAGAAGGCTCATGGCCACACTGAGCAGGGAAGGACTTACTCTTTCAAAGAGCCAGACCCTGGGAAGGCCTCTCCTTTGTTCCCCTAACCACAACTATTCAAGGGATTAATACTCCCTGATTGCAGTTCAAAAAGATCTGCAGTGCCCACCATATCTTTTACCTCAAAGTTGGACAAAGGCTAGACAGTGGAGTGGTAAAGAGATGAAAGGCTTTTCCTACTTGCCCAGAGCTCCACATGCCACTTGACACAGAGGAACAAAGCTGGCCAGGGGACTGATGACAGCAGACATTCCTGTCTCTGGTCATTTTAGTGATTCAGAGTAGGCAATCTCTACCTGGTAGCTGGGAGGGCCAAGGGAAGGGGGTCATGCAGAACACAGGTCACCCCACAGGGGATCAGGATTATCCCTAAGATTTCCTTATAGCAGAAGTTGGCAAGCTGGGATATGGAAACCTATTTCAGTGAGGCGGCTAGAGTAGGCAGCCCCTAATTATCTAGTTACACACCTGTTCTCACATGTAATGCCCTTGAGCTCTGCCAGGATGCATTCTACAGGTGGAGACAGGTTGTTCCATGCCTTAACAGCCTGAGGTAAATACCTAAATTTCTCAAGCACCTGCCAGCAAAGAGGTTACCATGAGAAAGGTGGTTCAGCCAGGCAACCCTCTCCCACCCCTCAAGGATCCCTTCCCATAGGACCTCTCAGTACCTCCCTTCAGGGGTAGGACCACAACTCCCTTACTGACCCCACAATTAAAATTATCCTGACCTTCAAATGCCAGACTTTATTTTCTTCTTCCATCTCCCTCCTCCTCTTGAATTTCCTGTGGCTCCCAATCACCAGACACCCCAATACTGAGATGTACAGTGGGGCATTTTGTTGGAATTGGGCCAGAGACAATTGGGCCCAGGAATTAGGGGAAGCAATAGGTTATGGAAGAAAGGGAATCAGATGACCAAGATTCGAATTCTGGTTCTATCGCTAACTACATATGTGACCTGGGGCCAGTCCCTTCACTAATCTGTGGTTTCAATTCCTTCATCTGTGAAAAGGGTCAAGCTGAATGGTTTCTAAGCTACCTTCCTTCCTGCTAAAATAGCAACCCTCAAGTTCACCTGATCTAGGAAAGTTCCTGGGTGCCATATGCTTATCAGCTGCAGTACTGCAGGACTATGCAACCACCTATGCCCAGTTGTTCCCTACCACCCAGTGGGGCAGATATCCACAAACTTCCATCATCTGCTCTCTTCCATCGGTGTGAAGGGTCAACAAACTGTATTCTGCTTCTCTTGTTTCCTTCCTAGTTCCCCCCTTTCTCCTTCTGAGAAGTTCCCTCAAGCTCTGCCACTTTTCTTTCAAATTCCTTCTCAGGATTTCTCTCAGGAAGCTGGCAAGAAGGAAGAAATGGCTGGGGCAAATGAAAATACACAAAGTCAAGGGTGCTTTCTTACCTTAAACTGCTCCTCTTCGTATAATACCAGCAGTTCTCGGGCTCTTTCTGAAAACAGAGTATGAAAAGATAGGGCAGCCCAGCCCTCTGTTCCTCATGGGACTGTGAGTCCTTCTCACCTTATTTCTTGAGTTGTAAATTTGGAACTAGAATTCTTGCCTCTCCTACTTCACAGGGTTCAAGAGAAATGGTATGTGACAGTAACTTTTTTAAGCTAAAACTCACTACAACACCAGAGGATTTGCTGAGCCAGGGAAATAACCAGTGTCAACCCTAAGTCTGAGCCTTCCAGACTCTTGAGCCCCTCTATACTGCCTCTGCCCCCCAAGGACACCTACCATATAGCTCTTTATGTCTCAGAGCCTTTTCCCAATGTGAATCAACCTCTTTGTTGCTTTCACTGTTTCCATCAACCCTGACATCCAGTTCTGCACCTTTCCCCTTATCCTTAGGCTCTGTTCTCTGTTCTGTGATGTCATCAACAACAATGTTTTTATCTTCCTCTTGGTCTTCTTCATCTGTCTCTTCCCTATCCTCCTCCAACTCCCAGGTTTCTCTCAGGCTATTCTCCAGTTGGCGGCACCAGTATGTCTTCTGGAGCCAATTCAGAACAAAATAACAGCCTAAACAAGGGGAGGAAGAAAGGAAGTGTCATATGACTAGCCATAGGCAAACAGCTCCTAGCAGGCCCCCAGTCCCATAAGCATTATGGGAAGACCCCAGGGAAGAGGCTTAACTCTAAGAAGGCACACATCTCAAATATCTAGAAGCAGCCATTCTTGCTCTGGGTTATCTCCCTGTTCTTTGCTTTCTCATGCTCACCAGCAACTTTCCTAGAAGAAACTAATACCAGTATTAGAGATGGGATGCCAAAAATAACATAGGGCTGGCAAGCGAGAGAATAGGGACCCAGACCCACTAGCTAGTTACATGGCCTTGGCTGAGTCTCTTCTCTTTTCTAGATCTCAGTTTCCCCAACATGACAGGGCTAGGCTGAATCAGTTAGGATGGGGTGTCTAAAGAACCTCTGGGTTCATGACATTTGATGGCTCACACCTCTCAACCTGCCTTCCATTCCCCTTTAGGCAAAAAATTTAAGGGGATGCCAAAAATTAAAGTAACCAAGATATCAAAACAGGATCAGAATAGCATCCTGCCAAGCCATAGTGGAGTCTGAAGCAAAAGGAAAAATGAGTAATGGTAATCCTGTCTTTACTTAATTTTTTGATATTTTGTTCATTGTGGGTTTTTCCACATTAAAAATGTTATTTAATTCAATTACTGAGCTTTTGACACCCACTTAAAGTTTGTGCCCAAAACAAGTGCTTCACTTGCCTCTCCCTAGTTCTGGCTCTGACACCAGTTAAAGACCCTCCTCCTTCTCCCTCTCCCCACAGTGCCACCCAGTCCAGGCTCCTGGACTTAACTATGATAGATATACTTCCTGAAGTCTCACCTCTGCGACAGTCATTTATATGGGGCATTTTCTTGTGAGTCAACTCATGGCGAAGTTCAACAATCCAATCCGGAATGTTTACCTGATTGTGAGGGAAGTGTGAGTACAGAAATCAGACAATATTAAAGTTGGAAGGGACCACAGAGATGAATTAGCCTGGCCTCCCTGCATTTGACAGAGACATTGAGGTCTTGATGAGGTTCCAGTCTTAGTGGCAGAACCAAGATTATAAACAAGGTCTCCTTATTCTTTTTACTCTGTGTAGATGATCTTGAAAATCAGGAAAGATATCTGCCTCCCCCAACCACCAATGACCCTCTTCCAATAAAGAGATTCCTATGAATGGGCATTAACAATCACCCCCAGCCTTCCTCTGCCTTGTCTGTATTAGTCTGAATCCTTGGGTACCCTTTATCCTTCCTCCCTCTCTCCCATACCCCTTTTCAGGAAGTTCTCTTGATGACTGAGAACCTGCCTGCCCTCTGGGCCTCTACACACCTCACATACTCAGGACAGGAATGTCAGGCATTTTCATGCTGATTGGTTGAGTTTACCTCCTGCCTCAGACTGCCAGCTCCCAGAAGGCAGGCATTGTGACTGCCACCTCTTTCTTGTCCTCACCCAGTGGAGCATTCCAGTGCCTTAGCTTCACTGGCCTACTCCAAACAAGCTGGAAAGGCCAAGCCACTGAAGATAGCAGCCATGAGCAAGGGAGCAAGTCTGCTACTTTAAAGCTGGAGGCTGAGGCTCTGGGGTTCTTGCTTGGCTTGGCTGGTAGTGGTGGGATGAGCTAGTCTGACTGCATGCCCACATCACCCCATGCCCCATTTAGTAAGGCAATTTTGTCATACACACCTCCTGAGCCAGGAACTTGAGAGGGAGCTTGACAAACTTTGTCTTCCTCTCGGAAATGAGATTCACAAACCTGGGGTTCGGGAAGAAATAAGTGGCATAGCCCAAGGAACTGTTTTACTCAAACCAGTAGGGCTTCAAAACACCTTGCTGAGTTACTGACACCTTGCATTTCTACAACCTTTCCAATAACTGTTCTGTCTTGTTCTTATGACTGGTATCAGCCAGCACAGGGATGTCTGCCCTGTACTGAAGCCATACAGATGAATAAGATACTGCTCTGGCCTTGAAGAGGTCAGTCTAGGATAAATATTCATGGCACGACATAACATACTATGCTAGATAATATTTTATAAATGCTAAAACAAAAGACTACCTACATCAAATGATATGGGGAGCCCACCTAAATGATGGATAAGATAAAAAGAATTAGGGAGGACCTCAATGCACACAAAGGAAACAGCAGAAGATGAACAGACTTCAACAGATGAGAAAATTCAGTGGCAGCCTTTTTCCTGATGTGTATGAAACAGCTAGAATCACTCTGAATTATTTGTAAATCAGGAATTCCCTGCCCATGTGTCCACTTCAACTCAGCAACCTTTCAGTGTTCATGGACAAAAGGGGAACATGAGGGGCGCCTGGGTGGCGCAGTCGGTTAAGCGTCCGACTTCAGCCAGGTCACGATCTCGCGGTCCGTGAGTTCGAGCCCCGCGTCGGGCTCTGGGCTGATGGCTCAGAGCCTGGAGCCTGTTTCCCATTCTGTGTCTCCCTCTCTCTCTGGCCCTCCCCCGTTCATGCTATGTCTCTCTCTGTCCCAAAAATAAATAAACGTTGAAAAAAAAAATTTAAAAAAAAAAAAAAAAAAAACAAAAGGGGAACATGATGGTGCTAGGTATATATGAGGGAAGGGTTGAAAAGTCCACATTAAGTCATAGCCAAGGACATCAAACCATTCAGAGAAGTTCATCTGGGTAAAGGGTAAGAAAAAAAATTAAATTGTCAAAGCTGGAAGAGATTCACTGAGATCACTTGGTCTAAACCACCTCTACCCCACATTCCAGAAAAAGAAGGAAAGAAAAATGGAGGATAGAAGGCTCTCAGGAAAAAAAAGAGAGGAATGTGTGTTGACAGGGTGTACGAAAAGCTGTCAAAATCAAACAACCACAGCGTGACCCATACAGAGGGACACATGGGACTTTTTGTTTCAGGTAGCACGTAAAGCCAAGCTTTGCTTATCAAGTGTACCCCCACCCCCATTCCTCTACCCACTCCCACTCCTACCCCTGTAGATCTTACCTGACCAACGCCATGCCATAGAGCAGTCTAAGTTCATCAGTGCCCAAGCCACCAGTTACATCCATGAGCTTACAGCGTACCAGGTCAGCAGTAGAAGCCACTGCCAGGGGAAGTTCGTTGCCTAACCTAAAGGGCCACAATCCAGCACCATCACAAAGGTCCCTTACCCTGATCCACCCTCCCCCTCAGAACCTAGGTTGCTGTAAGTTATTCCAATTATATAACTGAACTGGCTCAAGAGTGCATGACAGGACACAAATCAAGTGGGAAGGGGGAGGATAATGTCCCTAGGATCCAATAGTATACAGCGCATGAGAGGCTGGCTAGGGTATACAAAGGACACCTAACTGCTAGGCAATCAACCAAAAATTAAATGTGGACATACCTCTTTCTTTCACTCTACAACTTCAACTCATTCAGTTAGAGAAGACCTTATCCTTTGCTCCCCAATCTTACCAACTGGACTGAGGCGCCCCATTCAAACGTGGTTTTGTTAGTAAGCACCCCCACCCCAGCTCAATTCAACTCAGAAATACACCCTAGGTTGTTAGCCTACTCCTTAAACCCTGGCTCGGCAACGCTGGTCCCTACAGCATCCTCCCCAAGATGGAAGAATGTAAGGGTTAAAGCTAGATTTAACAAGAGGGTGGCTGAGGCACACTCCCTTTCTTTCTTTCTTTCTTTCTTTCTTTCTGCAAACGGGATTAGTACCAAAACTTGGCTGCTTGACTTTGCCCCAGGCTCTTGGGAAAGGGGCAACGCCCAAACCACTCATAAGGACGTTAGACATTTAGGAGAAGATTATAGAATAGGGCCTTTATCAGAATCCTACAAAGAAGAGTTGAGGCTCCACCAGCTTGCAAGAGGGCTGAGCCTGCATCCATACCTGCTTCTCCACACGGTGATGCGGTTCAGGGCGTACCGCTGCAATTTATGGTCGTCACAAAACAGATATACCATCACCTGATCCCACTCGGCCCTACTGAGCCAGGCGACCACGATGCGCTGGGCCCAAAGTGGTGACGACCCTTTCTCTTTGACGCACTTCCCGCACCACGCACTCCACACGCGATCCATCCCCTAAGGACCCACACCTGTCCAGGCCCCCGGATTCCCACCGGACACCGGCCTGCAGGCCCCCAGATTCCCACCGGACTGCAGGCCTTGTACTGGACCGAGCGGCTTTCAGTTCAACGTGCTACCCTCGCTCCAAACCACCGCCCTGCCAGCAGCCAATGGAAAAGCGTGACCCGGACGCAAGCCCGCCTTCCAGAGTTAACGTGGCAAATCGTAACACGAGGGCTGGGACCAACCTAACCACAAATTGGGGGCATAGCCTCGCCAGCCGGAAGTGTTCTTTTCTCAAAGCAACCGTACCGGCTGCAACCGTTCAGCCTCAAGGTTCCGCTAATTCCCTGGTTGCTAATGAGCTTCAGTCCCAGACCCTGAGGACGCGTCTAAACTTCGGGAGGAATTTTAGTTTGTGCCCTTTGGCAGGCAGGGGAAAGATCTTGGTCATTCTGTGTACTGGGATGCGTTTGTAAGTATGTTTTCATTACAATGAATCAGCACCTGACCTAGAAAAACACTATGGACACTGAAGCAAGACTACAGAGAAAATATTGAAATATTTAAATTTGGGTTGAAAAATCTGCTTGGTTTTCTCATCTGTGCAGTGAAGGGCTTAGGCTGGGTGATCTCTAGATTCTAGTCCATAGCTGGAAGTTGTAGGATTTTACTCTGCCATCATTCCGCTGCTGTGTTGGTTTCAACATCCGCATAGGTATACTTAATTTTTCTGCATAATTCCTTAGGATAATGGAGTTGCGGGGTGTGGGGGAGGGATTTTATGAAGCCCTTCTGACTTCACAGGATGGCTAAAATGTGTTCAGGGTTCTGCTCCAATCTTTCTCACAGAAGTTGTTTTCCAATCTAACACTTAAGGGAGAACTACTGATATCAGTCTTAACAGCATCTCTTTGAGTAGCAACACAATCCAATCCGATCTCCCTATGTGCTTTCTCCAGCCATTTTCTCCTAAGATGTGGTATTCTCACATGGTTCAGGATCTTGGCTGCTTACAGGCAAAGACAGGGAGATTGATTATATGGTTCCTTGAAATATAATCCAGTCAGAGGAGCTGCCAAATCTAAATCATTTGTGAACATTTTGGGGGTTTAGAGGCTAGTTTTGGATAGGGCTTTTCCATAAACACCCCTATCCTTCCCCTTTCATTCTCCATGAAGTTGATGGTCTCCCTATTTCATGTGTTCCAAGAAAACTTGACCAAAGTACATAACAAGAGTACCATGTCTAATATGTGACAAATGAGGCTTGATACCTGTTAAGAATTAGGGATTTCTGGGTCAACAAGTGTGTTAAGTAGTGATAGCTTTGAGGAGGCACTATATTAGTTTCTTGTGGCTGCTTTCACACATTTCCACAAACTTGGTGGCTTAAAACAACAGAAATTCATTACCTCACAGTTCTGGAAGTCAGAAGTCCAAAATCAATATTATTTGGCTGAAATTGAGGTATTTTCAGGGACATAGTCTCTCTGGCTGCTTTAGGGGAGAATCCGTTTCTTGTATTTTCCAGCTTCTGGTGTCTATTGGCATTCCTTGGCTTGTAGCCACATCACTCCAGTCTTCAAGGCCAGCATCTTCAAATGTCTCTCTGTTCTATCTTCATTTCACCTTTTCTTTGTTTATGTAAGATCTCCTACTACCTCCCTCTACTATATGTGATCACATTCAGGGCCAATCCAGATAATCCAGGATAATATCCCAATTTCAAGATCTTTAATTTAGTTATATGTGCAATTAAAAATTTAAATTTATTTAACCATATAAAGTAGCATTGTTCCATTTTATTTGCTTATTTTACCATAGAAAGTAACAGTCACAGGTTCCAGGGATTAGCATGTGGCTGTCTTTTATTTGGAAGGTAGGTGCTTTTTGCAGCCTACCAGACATACTATGGAATCCATCCTTGTCACATGTTCATGAATTCTAAAAATTCCCAGGCATGTGGTTCTGCAGGACACCTCCAGCTGTACCAATGGACTTTAATTAAACAAGCTCTCTCCAAATCTAAGGCATTGTCTGTGAAATCTTAAGGCCTTAAAGAGGCCTTGGTCCTCTCTGAATCATGTACTACCCCCCTAACTGGTCTCCCTGCTTCCATCCCTTACACAGTAGTCTCATAAAATGGAACCTCATCTTGATAGAGTAATAAATTCCTGGATTGTTTTCCTGAAATAGTAAGCATTAAATGGCTTTTCAAAGGTTTTTACAATTTGGCTCAAACCTACCTCATGTCCAGTTATTCTTTTTAAAACATTGAAGTTACAGCTGGTCTCTGAATATGCAAACCTCTTGTAAGCCTCTATTCCCTTCTCTATTATGTTAGCACTATCTGGAAAGCCTTCTTTTTTTCCCTCTTTCTGGCAAGCCACCATTCATCCTTTAAGATTCAGGATCATTTGTCAAATCCGGTTTTCTGAAGCAGAGTAAATCTGTCACGCCCTTCTCTGAACCCCCACACCACTTTGTACATCCTTCTACTGGAGGAAGGAAAAGAAAGGAATGCTTGCTGAATGCCTACCATGGGCCAGGCCATATGCTAAATGCTTGAAAACATTGAACTTTGTCTGAGCCCTGGGCTCGAAAAAAGGAGCCACAGTTGAGAAACTCCCTCACCCTTTTGTGTTAAAAAAAAACAAAAACAAACAAAAAAACAAAAACCAGCTAATTGTAAAAGGACCACATTGCACTGGCATATTTTGAGATGAGACCCTATCCATACTTCCTCATGACTCCCATAAGACTGGTGATGATTCCTTTGTTCACTTGCCGTTATAAAACTTTCTTTTCTTTGAGCAGTCTCCCTATGGCTATAGCCTGAATTCTGTGAAATTGGTTTTGTTCTTAATAGTTTACAGATGAGAAAACCAAAGCTCAGCTGCATGGCATAAGATGGTACCAGTAAGAAGGAAAAATGTGATTCCCTCCCAAGTCTGTGTGTCTTCAGTCTAGGCTCTTTCCACAGCTCTCAGACATGGGATGTGATTTACCTGTTTACAGGTCTGCTTCAGACCATGAAACCTTCAAAACCAGGTACGTCCAGGGCTCCAATTAATCTTAATCCTTGTTTGCTAAATGAATTCCTGAATAAACCGTGTAAATTCCCACTGAGATAGTGTTGAAGTGTTTCTAACTTTCTTTTTAACCTAAGCCTCTTTTTGATAAGTAGGAAAAATAAATGTGAAAGGCTGAAATTTTGAGCCAAAGGAGAATTTACATTTTAAGTGTATAAGATAGTGCTTTATCCTAAGGAATGGGGCCCTCTGAGGAATTTCAGGCCTGATGAGGAGGGATGGTTGTGAAGGGGGGGAGGGTAATATCCCTTCCAAAACCTCCAGCCTTCTAAAGCCCTCAATTGGCAGAATGTCCTCAGAGAAGTAGATGATCCACTTGAGAATGGAAGTGGATCTTCATTGTCCACTGTGTCACATTTAGTATTCTACCTCAAGATCTGGTGCTGGGAGGTGTTAGCAAGAAAATATCTCAGGTTAATTGCCTGCTTCTGTTGTAGGATTCTCTCCAGAATCATATCCTCTCAATGGAGGAGGCCCAAGGGGTCATCTTATCCAGTCCCCTGACAAAGTAGATTGCATCTCAGTCACATGGGAACCTATGCCTTCTTAAGGATTTATTTTAGACACTAACAATGCTCATGTAGGACGTTATTATTCGTGTCTAGCCTGCATGTTTGTGCTGCAGTAGCAATGTGCCTTCTTTCAGCTCTCTGCTGAAATGGCAGGCAATATTATGGATTCAAAGCTCCCACTCAACTCTTAGTCTACCTGAAGAAGGCCTCTGTTTTAATGCTCAGATTATGTATTCTTTCCTAACAAAGCCAGACATTCCTCTATTATTAGCATAGAAGGTTAGATTGGAGCAGTGCACACTGGCTGAGAGAGGGTATTACCACCTTTAGGGGTCTATCATCATTTCTCTAAGGCTTTCTTTCAAACATTTCTGGATTCAGACCAATTGTGAGAAATACATTTTACTTGACTCATTTCACACATACATATATATAACTGAAATAAAGTTTCCACAAAAGAGTATTTAACCTTACTACATGCAATTCTAGTTTATTCAGTTTCATTTTATAGTTTATTTACTATCATGTAAGGGGTTCATGGACATATACTGCCAATACCTGAGAATCAAAACCTTCTATTCCCACACTTAGCCTGGACATTGAAAACTAAAACTACACCTTACTGTCTAAACAAATATGACTTTGCTATTCTCTTGTCTTCATTAGCTTGACTTTACTTTTCCAGGGCTCCCCTGCTCAGGCAAATGTTTTATTACAGGAGCATCCTAAAAAAATCCAACAACTAACTCTTCAGTTGAAAGCATCAACAGGGAGTTTAAAATCCCCTGAGTCTTTTAATCTCTCACTTCTAAATCCTTGTCTTGCTGTTTCCATCAATCCTGGACTGTTATGTTATGCTCATTACCTAATTCTAATCAAGTCCTAGCATTAAAAGACCTACCTTGGGGTGCCTGGGTGGCTCAGTTAGTTGAGTGTCCAATTTCAGCTCAGATCATGATCTCATGGCTCGTGAGTTTGAGCCCCGCGTCAGGCTCTATGCTGACAGCTCACAGCCTGGAGTTTGCTTTGGATTCTGTGTCTCCCTCTCTCTCTACCCACCCCCCAAACTCGTGCTCTGTCTCTCTCTCAAAAATAAATAAACATTAAAATAAAGACCTACCTTAAACCAAACTTCCAGTTCTCAAGTTCTAATTTTGCCTTCCCTCCTTCTGAGACATCTCTGCCAAAGCTTTGCATAGGTGGTGTTCTTCTTCACCCTAGTAAGGAATAAACTCGGCATGGTCTTATCAACAGTCTGTGTTGGTAATATTTAGGAAGCCACCTTTTGACATACTACATGATGCAAATACAACATGGGGTTTATTGGGGGAAAACTTACAACTAGGCTGAGAAGTGGATGAGCACACACAGTCTCCTGATTTCTCCTTGTTCCTTGGCATATGGCAGTCACAGAAGTGTGCATTAAAGGCCAGCAAAGAGGGGCCTGCTTGGACAGTAGGCTATATGTGCAACTATGAGCATTCCAGGCTAGCACAAGCTGTGCTTCCACCTTGGGAAAAAGAGCTAAGGTGACACCTAGTGTCTCTAAGTAACAGGA